AGGCTCTAGCGTTCTAAAATACGATTCAACAATCCATTGAGCTATACTACGAGCTTATAGGATAAGATTTTTTATAAAATACTTACTGATATTTTTTAGTTAATTGAGATTTATAAACTTTTATAGCAAATGATTTTTTGTACTTTTTTAAATTGGATTTTTCGCACTTTTGTGTAACTTGTGTAAACCACGTTTTTTCATAAATTACCCTTTTATTTATCCTTAATATTTTATCCTTTTTTTCCTAAACATTTTATTCATTGTTGACTTTTATATTGTTTCTTAATAAATATTGCTATTTCATTTTTACATTTAATATTTACATTTTATTTATTTAAGTAGCGTTCATTTTTTAAAATTACATTCTACTGTATTTTTTTCGAAAAATTACGTTCTGAAAATCAAAAAATATTTGAGTAAGTTGCATGAGGTATACTTCATTATTTATTTATTTTTCAATTTGCAGCATCTATGGATGATGAAGCACATACGAATCGAGAAACAGAAGAAATCACTGCCCCAGATATTGCTCACATTAGCAACAGTAATACCGAAGTTCGAATTTTTATTTTTTTTATCATGAATCGTTTTATTACCATTGAATGAACGGAACATCTGGTTTTTTTTTTTTTTTTCAATTTATGGTGTTAATTTTATTTTGATTTATCGATGAGATTCATTTTGTAGTTAATTTATTTTATTGAAATTATTTATTTAAATTTATTTAAATTATTGAAATTATTTATTTAAATTGATTTATAAATTGAATTTTATAAATTATAAACTAACAAATTGTGTTGTTAAATTCACTGAGAGGCTAGAATTTATAATAGTAGAAAAAAGGAAAAACCAATATTATCGTTATCGTTATCACGAGTTATTAACTATGAAACAATAGCGCTGTTGTTCGTTTTCTTTATCTCTTTTTTTGATTAGATGATTTCGCTCTCTCTTGATTCTTTAAAGGTTTAAATCAAAAAGAATTCATAATAACTGCAAATAATTTCTGTTTAATTAATGAAAATATAAATGAAATAAATTTCTATATTTTAAAGGTTTTCTAAGTTGTCTAAATTCCATTCATTATTAAACTATATATATATAAGAATTGAGTGTTAATTTATTCATTGAAGATTGATTTTAATATTTGTTTGTAAGAAATGAATAAATTCTTATCATTTCAGATGTTTTTTAAAATTTTCCAAATATAAGATTTTCCAAATATCGATTAGTCCACAGCAATTTTTTAAATTTTTTTCCTTTTTAAATGAATTTGATAAGGAAATAGTTGATAAAAAAATTCAAAATTTAGCCACGTAACGAAGTGGATGAAAAAGCTTGGCCTTCATTGGATGCAGCCGTGAACGATAGGCAAGATGAATTACAGTCAACAATTCATTTGAAGAATTCATCAGCAGGATCAACAGTGGCAATTGAAATATCTCCGGAAAAAATTAGATCCAATTCTGATAAAAATGCTAGTTTTTATTTTATTTTCATTTATTTTTATCGAGATTTTTTTATCTGAGAAAATTAACGATGCATTTATAAATTGATGAATAAGGAAGTAATATATATTCTAAATATATTAATATATATTCTAATGCGTCTTTTTGGTACTACAAAATGTGATTATAGGAAAAACATGTATATATTTGTTTATTACATTAATTAATATTGTCGAATATTTATATATTGTTAATTTGTCGAAGAACTTTATACTTAATTAATTGACGATGTTAGAAATGAAAGTACAAAATACGGGTAGTGAACGATTATATCAGGAGTTGTCTATCTTCTACATTTTATTTATAATTTTAATTCTAAATTTTTTAATTTCTAAACTTCATTTTAATTTTTTTATTCTTAATTTATTTGTTTGATTTCTGGAAAAATTTTCTTGAAATTTTTCACGCATAAATTTTCTTACGAATGGAATTTTATCAATTTTTTGGCTTATTTATTTCTTTCTTATTTTAGGAATCAGAGAAAATAGTGGAGAAGAATGGAAGTTTACGAAATAATAAATCGAATAATAAAATGTGGAAGAGAATACCTATCGATGTTGATTATATGAGTAGAGATAACCATTCAAGGCCTGGATCTAGAGATGGTTCAAATTTTTCTTCGAGAAATAGGTTTTTTATTTCTATTTATTTAGTATTTTCTGCATATTTTTTCTTTCATAATATTTGCCAGTCATTCATCATGGTTTTTCTATTTAGAAGGGTTGTCAGAAATTCTGGAAATAAAACGACACCGTTAATTAATCAAATGAATATGGCAAGAAGAAACGTTCCGAATGCGGTTAATAATGAGAATCATTCGGATGAAAATTATTGGTATGTTCTTCTCGTAAAGGTTTTTATCATAAAAATGAAATAAATTAATAAAATTAGTAAATTTGATTTATTTTTAACATTTTATGTTATATCAGTTTCGCTGACGGTAGATGTGAAAATTCCTCAATACTTCGCTGACGATAGATGAAATAGTTATCTTTTTTTCATTTTTTTTTTGCTTGTTTTTTTATCTTTTGGAAAATTGATTTATTTAAGTTGATATTATATGAATAGAATAACTCCCCCAATAATTTTTTTCTCGGCTTTTTTATTAGATTCGTCTCATAGTTTGCTTTTGCAGAAAATGAAAGTAATTCCAGCAGTTTTTTAAAATATTTGTTCATTTTTCAAAATGAAAATTTTTTTTTGCGTTTCTTTTCGTGGTTTTCAGCATTAGTAGCATCAATAATCATTCTACAAATAGGGAACATATTATTGTATCATTCTTATTTCATCAATTCGTAGTTGCAAATTATATTAACTATTAGCTAAAAATTCTCACAAATAAAAAAATAAAAAAGAATAAAAAAAAGAAATAATAATGAGGAATAAAAAAACAAAAAATTTTTGAAAAATTTCTCAATAATTTTAAAGGCATTTTATGAAGGAAGAAAAAAAAACATGTTTATTTTATTTAAAATGTTTATTTTCGATAGGTATAAGTCGATTAATTTCGAAATAAAATCGATAATAAAAAAAAAAAGAATAAATATTTTTCAATCATTGATTTTGCAGCGAAGTATTGAGGAACTTTTTTCTTTCCATTTTATTTTGTTTTCATAATAACAATTTCTTTTCTCTAATTATTATCGTCTTTTCTTTTCCATTATTTCTATAATAAAATATTTTTATTGCATGAGGAAAAGTGTGAAAATTTTTTTAAAATTTAAAACTTTCATTTATATTTATTTTAAATATTTAGCGAGAGTTGTTGATTTGTATGTTGTTTTGTGTCAAAAGCAAATAGACTTCATAGATTTTTCTAATCAATTTTTTAAACATAAATCAAAATTTTACAATTGTAATTTTCAACCTGTTTTTGTACTAGTGATGTTGTGACAGTAGAACTTTGATCTATTAGGTGTTACGACTTTTAGTGACTTCGTCTGATTATTAGTACCAATTGGCGTAGAGCCAGGAATTGAATTTTTAGGTTAACGGAAAATTTGGAGAAATGGGTGAAGGTTGGAGCTTATTGGTTGTAGTAGAATTGATTTGAGTCACGTTATTTTTTTCTGGCTATATGCGATGCTTCTGAGTGAGATGATACGAATGTCCTTAGGATGACGTGAAGGCTTAGTGATAAAAGGGATTTTTTGTCGTTAATTGATAATTTTTGATAATTAATTGATAATTTTGATATTCGCTGATAAGATTCAGTACGGGCTCCTAGGTTTAACTATTCAGATGTTCGATTGTTTAAAATAAAGAAATAAATTTTAACGTTGTTTGTTAATTATTTGGTTAATTTTTATAAAATAAGTATATTTGTATATTTGTAATTTTAAAAATTTTCTAGATTCCTTTTTTTTTCCCGTTAAATTCTATAAATAGTTTTATTTTCCTTCATAATGTACAATGTAATTTGTTGAATTTTTTCTGGAATTATTTGCATAAGCGTTGAGAATATTTTTTCGAAAAACATTCGTTAGTTTATAAATATACGATGAGATGAGGAAAGCGTCATTTACGAGCATCGATTTTATTGTTGTTGCTATCCATCACCATCAATAAGATGTGCATTGCATAGCATAACATAGCATAGCATAGCATAGCGATAGTATTAGCAGCCAGCAGCAAACGGCGGCAGCATTATTTTTGCATACATACGCCGTATATATTTTATATTTGCCAATTGCCAACTGCCAATTTTCTTCTCTATTTGTCCTGTTCTTCGTAATTTTTATTTTTTCTTTACTATTCTCGTTCATCGATATTTTCTCCAAAAATTTTATTATATTTTACTTTCAATTTTCATATTGTTTTTTTCTATATTTCAACAAATTAAATTTTTATCGGCCATATTAATCTGCATTTTTGTTTGATTATATGAAGTAAAGAGACTGGTTTTATTTATTATTAGCGTTAGTGATAAAGTAATACAAGTTATTTTAATTTATTATCATTTATCATCGTTATCATAATTGTCATCATTATTTTCAATATTGTTTAATTATTTTCGTTTATTAGCTGCTAAACTAATAGAAACATTTTTCGTATCGAAAAATATTCCTTTCTTTCCTCTCTTTTCTTTTTTTTTATTCGAAAAAATAGATTGAAATGAAAAGAAAAAGAGAAGAGAATCTAAAGTTGATAAAGAATGGTTGGTATATTCCAAATAATATATGCATATGCATTTTTTAAATTCGTAAATTAATTATTTGTATATAATTGTTTATAAGACGTTTAAGTACCAATGCATGTCCTGCTTGTATTTGTATTGTACTGTAATAATATAATCGCTGCGAAAACTATTTGGAGGTGGAAATAATTCGGATCGTTAATATTAACGCAACATAATCTGCCTCGCGCTATTATATAATTAGAATTGAATTTATTATTCATCATAAATCACTATGTCGATATTATTCTTATTTTATTATTCATTCCATTATTTTTATATAAATGAAAAACGATGAAAGAAAATTTTTCACTTAAAAAAAAAATTCTAATTATAAATTTTATAGGTACGATCCCGGTTCAAACGGATTCTTTTATAAATCGGACGGAAATCAAGGTTGGAGACGTAAACAAACGTCTGATATCGATTTATTAGCACTACCACATCATTATCAGACCGCTAATTCAATTATTGTCGCAACACAACAACAACAACAACCTATCCCTGGTTCAATACTATCAGTGCCTACAAATATCAACAATCTACGCGTAAATAATCGTGGAAATAATAAAATTATGAATAGCAGTAATAATAGTAATACTCAAAATAGGTGATTTTTTCTTATTCATTAAAAATGTTGTGATAAAATTTCTTAATGAATTCATTGATTATTTTCATTTTTATTATATACCTTTCTTTCAGCTATTTTTTATTTTTCCTTTATAAGCTATAATTTTCCAATTTATTATTATTATAGAGCGAATAAGCGAAATGATGAAAATATAAATGTAAATGCTCAGATAGAGAACAGTAAGCAGCAGCAACAATCTGCGACAACTTCATCAATGAACATGCAGCATAACAATAATAATCGAGTATATAATCGAGCGAACTCGTATAATTATCGTTCTAACAATGGTGTAAGAATGGGGAATGGTGTTGATTACTGGCGTAAGGGTGGAAATAAAAGTGGTATGGATTCATCCGGAGGCAAACAAAATTATCAAAATTTTGAAGATTGTTTCTACGCCGATAGAAATCGTTTATATTATGCTGGTAATAATGAATTTCGTAATGAGCGATATCCTTCACGTTTACGTGCGTTCAATCAACATGCACCACCAAAACTAACAGCTGAACAGAAGCGTGAATTTGGTCCATTGCCTGATTGGGAAGATCCAGCTGATGTAACGAAATATGATTATATGCAATTTATGGATACTCAATTTAATAATTTAATTACGGGGATCATTAATGGTCATTTCGAAACGAATGGTGCACCATTAAGTGGTTTGCCGAATTTGGTTATGGCACAGCCGGCGCCTCCTATATTCCGGCCAGCGCCTCCAAATATTATGCCGCATTTGCAGACGCCAATAAATCTTGCTGAATCTCGACCTGAGTCATTATCGCCAACTGAAAAAATTACTATTGCTCCAACAGCCGGATCAAATCTTATTTCGCCTGCAGAGGCCATAGGACCTAGTGGTTTATATGTTCCTCCAGATCCCTTAAATCTTACTACATTTATTGTACAAAATGGCACATATTCAAATTCAAATTTTATGCAAGAACTTCCTTTTGTCACACTTTCCGAAGCTACAATGAAGGATTATATACGAAAACAAGTGTAATTCCTTTTTATTCATTTATTTAATTTCAGATAAATTGTTGCGTGTGTTTAGATAAATTTCATCAAGCATATTGCTAAATTGTAGCAAGTTTTTTCTCGGTTATTTTTATATTTTTTATGATAGTATTTGCAACAAATATTTTTTAGTGAATATTATTTATCTGAAGAAAATCTCATGAAGGATGTTTATCTTCGACGAAATATGGATAAACAGGGATATTTAAGTCTGGCGCTTATTGCTAATTTTCCGAGATTAAAGTCAGTTACTGGCGATATGAATATTATCGTTTCTGCTCTAAAGCAAAGCGTTAAAATTGATCTGGATGTTGATAGTCAGAAGGTTCCAATTATGAGAAAATTCTTTATTTTCTATTATCGTTATTTTCAATATTTACAGTAACGGTTAGAATTATATTGCCTTATCTTTATTTTTTCTTTTTATTTTTCTCGAAGATTTGGTTGAATTTAACTAAAGATAGTATAAAGATATTTGTAGTTAACATGGGAAAATCTATTCTATGGTTCAAAAATCATTTTCAGGTACGAACAGTGAATAATCCTGAAAAATGGCCCATCGAAGAACAACAGATTAGGAGAAACGGCGTATCGACGGATTTGGCCCAGACTGTAGAAAAAAAAATTAATGAAAACTATGAAGAACAAAATAGTTGCAATAATCAAATCTTGGCTTCTAACAGTCAACAGGATTCGCAGAATCAAAATTCTGATATTTCAGAAATTAATAATATAAATACTTCAAATGAACAATCGACTCCAGCTGCTGTAAAGCATGAGAAGGAACCGATTAGTGAAGAGTGTGCACTGAAAAATGAACGAGCGATTCCAAAAGGAGAAGTGCACAACATTGGAAATAAAACCAGTGAACTTCCGAAAGAGACTCATGCGAAAGCCTCGAACAATGCGTCTGAATTGGAAGATTGGCATGAAGTAATTTTTTATTTTAAAAGCATTTTAAATGAATCGTATCATCATTAATAGTTCATATAGTCCTTTCTAAATCTTTTTCTAAATTCTTTTATTTCGATTCAGCTTAATCTTACTCATTTTGAGTTTTTTTTTGAGTTTTTGAGTTTAATGACTTTTTTCTCTAAAGGTAAAAAGTCGAAAGCAGAGAAAAGGACGTAATACGAAGGTATCTGCAGTAAATGCAGGAACATCGAATTCTGTGCAACATTCTTCAACAACTAATTCAAGTGTTCATTCAGATGCCGACTTCTTCCCGAAGAAATATTCTAATAAAAAAGACAAAAAAACGGATCACTCGTACGTTGGCCCATTATATTATGAGTTTATTTATGACTTTTAAGCTATATTATTTTTGAACGGCTCATTCCTAAAAAAAAACTTTTAAAATTCAAACATCTCAGGGTTGAAAAATTTTTGGTTGTCATTTTAGATTGGCTTCAGGCGATATCCCAGAAGATATTAGTGATGCAGTTGTAAAAAAATTAATTGTCGTAACTCCAGCTAATCTTACAAGTACAAAAAGACAATTTGATCGAACAGGAGATCACACAAGTCGATCTAAGATGAGTCATAGTTTAAGCGAGGAGATTGATCTCGGTTTGAGACGTTTCGAAGATGATCTCTGGAAAAAGTCCGAATATTCGGTATAATTTCAATATTTTTTGATTTTTTTTCTCAAAAACATTACTTTCATACTTCGATATATAATTTAAATTGCGTGTTTGCTGTTTTAGTGCTGTTTTATTTTAAAAAAAATTTTTTTTTTACTCTTTATTTTTTTGCATGTTTAATTTTTGGTTTTCTGATATATTTATCACACGTTTGATATCTTTTTTATATTTCTCCATTGTTTCATCTTTATTATTTCACTATTTTTAACCCAAAAAATCGTGCATGATTTTATAGAAAAGGCTTGCATGTATTTTTTACGTTAAAAATTGAAATTGAGGTTATTGTATTTATTATATCTCTGCTCGCATAGAATTAGAATCTGCTTTGCTATTTGCTTTTATTCTCATTTTTTTGGTTTATATTTTTGTTTTTTATATTTTATGAATACTTGGCATATTTTTTAATTGAAAATATTTTAGCGCTGAAATTGAAATATTAAATTAAAATTAAGGTTGTTATTTGAATTATGTCTATGAACATTAGAGATTTGGGTGATTATATATTTTTTATTGATGGTGAAGGAATTTTTAATCACAATTTTCAAAGATTACCCGAATCTAGTTTTATTTCAGCAATTTTTTTTCCTAATGCTTCTGCTTCCTTGCTTTAACCCTTCGATAAAAATGTATGTTGTGTTTTTTATATATATGTTTGCTTTTTTTTATTTTTTCTAAAATTTTTCTTCATATTCTATCGTATTGCGTGAGGATTTTTTAGCATTTAATAATTTTTTGGGTGAAAATTGTGATTAGTAAAATTTATTGAAAATGTAATGGGAGTTGTTTATTGTGGAGTATCGAAAATTTTCAAAGAAATATATAAATTTACGCAGATTTTGACTTTCCTCGGTTTCGATTGTGGAATTTTTTTTCAGAATAACTTTCTATTAATTTTTAGAATGTAAATATTACTAAGGTTGGGACCGTTTCGGAGGAAGCATTTAAAGAACTGAAAGGCGATGATAATCAAAATGAAGATTATCAAGAGGAACCGCCACCAAAAGTAATACCGACTCCGAATACGGTTCCAGCGATCTCATCGGTATGGACGAAGAAAGCACTTGAGCGGAAGGCTGCTTCAGCTTCGGCTACTATGGGGGTCGATGGTGTATGCATTTTTACCTTTTTTTCATTCATCATTTGCGCTTTTCCTTGGCTTTTTAGAGAATTTTTTGTCGATATTTTTTTCATAATCATTTCTTTGTAATCTGGAAAAATCCAGTTCTTTTTGATTTTTTGAATTCTCTAAGATACAGCGAGGATGCGTTTTCACGAAAATAAATGAGGACGACGTTAATTGTGGAATTTTTGTAGCTATGAAAACCTGAAAATAATTTAAGTGATACTATTTATTTTTAATAGGAATGTTTGAAAAGAAATGAATTTTATGGTAATAATTTTAGTGGCTTAAATTAAGTTAATTAAGTATAAATTTAAGTATTCATTATTTTATTATCAGTTATCATTATAATTTTTTAATATTATATTATATGTACATTTATATTTATATATTGTCGCTTATTTTTTATAGCCGGCAAGTCCACTGGCGAAGCAAGAAATGGCTCGAGGAAAAGTTGCAAGGTTCTATCCTGTAACAAAGGTTAATAGTTTGCCAGAAAAACCGTCGACTCCTCGGAAACAAAAAACTCGCCACAGTAATAATCCACCCGTCGAATTATCTGTTGGTTGGTTGTTAGGTATACGTTCTCGGACGACGTCACTTAATGCGTGCGTTTTTACTCTTATATAAATAATTTTTAAACTTAATATTCTTTAGGGTTGCCATTCGAATTTATTCGAGTTTTTTTAAGTTATCTCTATTTTAATTCGTATTAAAATTTTTTATTTTTGCAGTAGTATTTATTTGAATTGCTATAAGGCATTTAAATTAATTATCATTTTCAGTGATACGAAAGATGTATCAGAATCGACGCACTCAATGCCAGGGCCATCTGTAACTGCAATTCCGCAAATTCCTCAACATCCATCTATCCGTTTATTGGAAGAAAATGGTTTTGAGCCGCAAGTATGTTTTAGATTAGTATTTGTAGTAGTGCTTAATGAGGCAAATTTTTTATATCAAACCATTGTGACCAAGAATGGAATGGATATTTTCAATCTTTACTTCTGAATTATAGGTTTACACTCAGTGGCGAACTTATTGCCTTAATCAGCGACAACATTTGGGATATGGAACTACCGATATGAATACATTTTTCCGTTTCCTTTCCTTTTTTCTACGAGACAATTTTAATCGAAACATGTATGAAGAATTTAAAAAACTTGCTCTTGAAGATGCGGCAGCTGGATATAGGTATATTTTAATTATCTCGACATCAACTTCGAAAAATTTTTTTTTTCATTTCAGAAGAGAAAGGTTATAAAGGTATTATTATTCGATGATGAGACCATGAGAAGTGTAGTTTTAAAGATGTGAAATTCCAGGTATGGATTAGAATGCCTTTTCCGATTCTATAGTTATGGACTCGAACGGAAATTCCGTCCAGAAATATATCTTGATTTTCAAAGAGAAACGATCAGTGATGTACAGCGCAACCAGTTGTACGGTTTGGAGAAATTCTGGACATTTCTGAAACATTACAAACACTCCAGACGACTCGAAGTTGATCCATTCTTAAAATGTCTACTTGCCAAATACAAACATCCCAATGATTTCGCTGTAGAAGTTTGTTTATTAAATTTTTTGAATTTTTGTCAATATCCATTGGTACATTAGAATTTTTAGAGGCGATGGAGATTTCCAGCTCTACAGTTTGCTCTAATTCCAAAAAATTTCGAAAAATATGACACCTAGGTACAATAATTTTTTTCAGCCTGCTGATGCGGCGAAAAAGGAACTTGCATCGTCATCCCAGTGAACTTAATTCGAACTGGATAAACTTAAATTGTTTATTATTTCCTCGTTCACTATAAGCCTTCAAATGGCATTGTTATAAATTTTCTTCTTGTAGAGATTATTTATTGTTTTAGTTTTTTATTTGAATTCAAGGATATGTGGAGATTCCTCATTTGACGTGGGAATATTATGGTAAAAGAAAAATATTTCTTAATATTGCTCAAGACATTTGATTTTATGCTTATTATCGACATATTTACTTGTAAATGTCCAAAAGGTATCTGTCTATCTCTCATATTTAAAAGTTCGCTCTTTCTTTATTTGCTATTGGCGAATTTTTAGTTATTAGCATTAGTATAACTCTGGCAAAAATTTTGGCATTATTTCACTACTAATGAGCTAAATTCTTAGTTATTTTGGAAATAATTATAGTTTTTTTATCGATTTATTTTTTATCACTTAATGAAATTTTTTATGCATTTTTAATGAGCATTTCCGAACAACTACATGGTGACAGAGTGTACTTGCTAGTGATTATAATTGATAACTAAAATTTCAAAAAAAAATTTTTTTCATGAGGATATTAAAATTTATTCCATGGTTGTTGATGTCGTTGCTTTCTGATTGCATGCAAATATATATATATTGTGAAAAGCATTAATCTTAGTCTATCAACTCTAATAATCAGCTATTGATAATTAATGACAAAGTTGTGCTTTGTGCTTTGTATTTACTTTGCATTTGTGCTTAAGTGATGATGGTGATGATGATGATGATGTTGATGATATTTGTTCTTTTTCTTTTCTAATTCTTTTTAAATGGGTATTTTGTATTAAAGATATTCTATTTTACTATAAATTTTAAACATTTCGATTCGTATCGGATTTATTAAATTAATAATTTTTGGGTTTATGTTTGTCATATCGAATCGAAATGCATATAAATTAAGTGATAATAATAATAATATGTTAGTGGTTGATCAGTTCTTTTGTATTTTTTTAAAATTTATAGAAAAATTTTTAGAAAGAAAAGTCGAAAAAAAAATCAAAAATTTCACTTTAACTCATATTCATTTTTTTTTTATTTTTTATTTTTCATATCTAATTTTGTGCGTTGATTATTTTTTTTAATTGAATTAATTTTTTTCTCAGTGCCTAAAATTGTTATTAAAAAAAAAAAATTTGTCATTTTATAATTTTGACCATTTAAAAATTTGTAGCAAAAAATTTTGAATTTTGAATTTAATATTTTAAATTTTGGAAATTTTAAAAAAATGAAAATCCAGGCGTACCTTATTTGATTCGAAAAGTTTTTTCTTTTGTTGGAAATTATTTGGTTGTTTATTTAATTATTGAAAATTTGAGAATTCATGGAAAGAATGAATGGAAGGATGAAAGATTAAGAAGGCGGCGATAGCATCAACAGCAGCAATAGCAGGATTTGTATTATGGGTTAATGACTGACCGTCAATTTCATGTTTGCATGTTTGTTGTATGATTATATCTTCGGGTTTGTCATATTTTTGAGGTTGGGTATGTTCATGGTTGAGGTTTTTTTATTATTTTCTAAATCTTTCTCTAAATGTTTTTCTTTTCTTTAACTGATTTTCTTCATTTGATCGCATATTTATTATTATTATTATCATCATTAGTTTATCAGAATTAGTAATTATTTTTTTTTATTAATGATTATTTTGTTATTTCTTTGGATCCTTCTCAGGTGTTTCATCGCCAAAATTGGATTTTCATTTTTTTTTTATCTGTGGGGCCTCTTTTATTAGAGGAATATTTTATTATTTTTCTTCGCACTCTTTGGTCAATATTTGTTCCAGAAAAATCTATCAATGATTTTTGAATAGAAAAAAATTGAATTGATGGCATTCTCGTTACATTTTTTGATATTATGTGCGTATTGTTACGTGTATACGAAATTTCATGAGAAATGATAAATGATAATGCTTGATTAAAATAATTTAGTAAAATTGATGGTGAAGAGCTATGCTGCAATCGGTGTTAACAGTTGTATTTCATGATATCATTTTTTCTTCGTACCTTATTATTATTAGTAATAATCGTTGTTGCCATGAAGTGAGTTCTTATCATATTTTCGATAGTAGCATAGCATTTTATCATTTCTGTTCATTGCTCAGTGTTTTCTGCAGTTTTTGTTCGCCTGAAGTTTGGGATTTAGTAGCTGTTTTCTTTTATCGTGGTTCTTCCTCAAATTACTCTTGCGTCTACTGTTATTGAAAATTCATTGTGGGGAAGTTTTTTTCGGGAAAAGAATTGATTGAGAAAGAATTAAAAATTTTAAAAATTGATAATACATTTATGAAATCTGATATGATTATTGATAGTTTGATATATGTCATCTAAATGCGGGAAGTTGTCACGGTAAATTGTTTCTGTGTTTTTTTTTGGTTATTTCGATCAGTATAACTGTATATCTAATTTTCCTTATATTTCGATTTTTTCACGGTGAATTATCCAATTTTTTTTTATTAATTTTTTATTTTAATATAAATGTTTGGTGTTTGAATATTCAATAAAATTTTTTGTTTGTTGAGCGGTGATCGCGAAAAACTGAATATATTAATTGCATTAAAATTTCTTCTTTGGCATAATTTCCGGATTCATTCAATCGAAAGCGGATTAATTTAGGTGCTCTTGTTCAGTGAATTAATTGCTGATTAAGTTTTTGGAACAATAGTGGTTGATGTTTCCGATGTTATTAGTGTTACGTCGTTATCATTCATGTTGGCCGAACAAAAGGAGGATTTGTTTTGCTTAATTCGATATGTGCAAGATTTAGCAATTTTTCAGGCAAAATGACGGATTGTTTTGGATGAAACAATGGTCACTGATAAGGGAATAACTTTTATAAATGATTAGAATGGTTGCAAAAAGAATTAAACCTGAAATTTGTAGGGATAAAGCAAATGCAACAACCTTGACGATTGATATCGATTTATATATATCTTTAAATGATATAACATTTTCAGTATAAAAATTTTATCAACACAGCTAGACTTTCATCTAAATTCATCTTCCTTAGGTTTGCCTATCTAGTAGACATGGAGAAGAGCAAAAATCTTCCTAAAAATAAACTTATTCCTTATAGTTGATAGTTCCAATTGCAGTACAATCCCGTCATCTTTCTTAGGATTTAAGAGCGGAATTGCAATCATTCCAGTTCCATTCCAATTCCCCTTATTCCAGTCATAATGGTACTTGCTTCTTTTATACTAATGAATTGCAGATATGTTTTGAAAGAGATTGAGAGGCGAGATGATCTTTTCCTGAGGTATTGACTTCTGAATTACAAGCGATAATTTCGTGTTTATGTTAGTCTCAAATTTACAGTCGCATACTTTCCAAATATACGTAAAATATTGGATGGATCCATAGTAGTTAAATTTAGTTTCAATCTACTCCTATCGAAAGAGACGATCTTTGATGATTTAAATTCTCAAATAAATAACTATCAATAATATATAAATATTTGTCAAGGAATCACCACTGTTCATGGTGAAAATTCACAGCCTCGTTCTCATATTTATTTTCCCAGCAATAGCGCTCCAATAACTGGGCAACAATCGTCTGAGCGGCTCCTTTGCCTTCTCCGTTGGAGCGATAATTATCGTTTGATAAAAACGTGATGTGAATTCACCTCGGTTTCAAGCCTCGGTTTTTCGTCGTAATTATCTTGCCAATGAGGAGTCATCAAAGTAGTAGTCACTTTGGGCAAAATTGCAATATAATTCGCAGAAAATAAAATAATAACCTGTTTGTTAAGTATTTTGGTCCAGAATATATTTTACGCACTCACCAATAGTTGCAATATTACACGATTTGCATTTGCACCATAATCCGAATATTTAAATTCACTGGTATTATCACCGTAGCAGAGTTATCTATAGCCATATTTTTCATCACTATAATTAGCATATATCTCGTTGTGCTTTCCAATGGACCGAATCAAAATGCAGGACTGGCACTCTTCTTGGTCGCTCACCACAAGAATTGGCATATATTTTGTTATTTGCTAAACCTTGTGTTGGATGGTGTCAAAAGCAAATTGGACCAATCAAGACCTGGACTAATAGTCAGGAAAGATTTCGAACACGATGAACGGATCAGCAATATATGGACTTAGAGGATGGAAAAAGGATTGGCTTTTATTACGTTCAAGAATATATTTCTACATAAACCCATAAGGCCAGAAAGCACAATTAGTGAAATGTACTAGTGAAATTTTGGATTTGATCTGCTTTTATAGGTTCTTGGCAAAAGTACATATAAATAGCAAATGAAGAGTTATTATCCATGTTATATGCGATGGTATTCACCTATGCATTAAAAATGAAAAAAATTTTTTTATGAAAAAATACAATGTTATAGGTTACTAAATTCCATGTACTGCATTCGTATAATTGCACTAGAGCATCTTTTATTAAATTGTCAAATTGTCGAAGCACTGTCAAAAAACTGTCGCTCAAATGGAACGACAAAATAGCGACGATGCGATAGCAAATAAAAATCGACATGTTAGCGGCAATAAACATATGGAAGTTTTATGAAGTACATCTTTTCCTTCAATTATTTTGGGCTGGAATTTGAAAAAATAGGAAAAAAATTATAAAAATAATAAAAAGAAAAACGTGGCACTCATTTTTATATTTTTATTACTATTATTTATTATTCCTAAACTATTTATTATTTTATGTTTATTTATTTCTTTTTACTTTTAAAATTTTTTTAAATGATGATCGGAAAATATTTTTGATATTTTGTTGATCAATAATTATTTTTTATCTTTTTTTGAAAAATTGTTCTGTGTGGGACATCACAAAGGCTTTGAAATAAAATAATTGCAGAACT